AAGAAAATAAAATTAGATATCTAATGCAATTATCGATATGAATAATTATATAAATCCACACTAGGTTGTATATTTTTTGTGGACTGAACAAACTACCCAAGCCAAAGTACTGAGCTATCAAAATGATGATTATGCCTTTTAGAACATATAACATACAGAAGCCAGAAGCTCTAGTTGCAAAGCAACAATTTTTTGCATAGCTTAAGTATACTCATAGCAAGTAACTTGAATAATTGATCAATCAATACAAAAATAACTTAGGCATGAGAGAATAAAACTGGAATCTAAGGCAAAAATGATATATACCTGATTTGGATCAAAAATAATATCGCTAGTTATCAATGGTAAAATCAGTCTTAACATATTATAATCTGTCAACAAGGTCGAATTTTGTTCTTTCTCAAGCTTTTGTTTTTTATTATAGCAAGTATGACGTGACAACTTTTTGACTGGTTTCTCTTGGAACGTATTAATAAGGTTAGGAATTTCATTTTCATTTTTATGCTTCTCGATAGATGCTTGCATTGTTTTTGAATTTTAAGTTATTAACAGGTAGAAATATATAGCGAATATAATGACATATAATGAAGTATAAAAAAAATATAAATAAATTATAAGCGTCTATGTTGGGAGGCATTCCTTTTATTAGAAAATACAATTATAACTAAAGGTATAGTTACTCCAACGTGTGTTAATTTATCAATTTGCCAAATATTTTTTTATCATTGTATTATATGTTGCAAAACATAACTTGACGATTTAACACTTTGTGATTACAGAGTGCACTTTCTAAAAAATAGTAATTCATCAAAACAATAGTTAGCACATTGCTTTATTTGATATTATATAATAGACATAGTAATTTTCTAACAAACAATTGCGTGTTTACTAAATTCAGCACCACAATTATTGAACACGATAGATCAACTAACAATTACATATTTTCTATATTTGGGATTACATTGTTGTATTGTTAATACATAACCTGTTAAGAGAATAGCTAAATTTAGTATAACAAAATTTATATCTTAACCAGATCTACACAAGTATAAGAATTATGCTATTTTTGAAAAACCTGATATCACATAGATTCGTGATTTTTTTGGTTTGTTCTTTCTTATAAATGAATTCTAGCTCGAAAATGAATATTATTTTACAATATTCAGATCTAATATATAAAAAAATGATACTGTAAATTATGTAATCTGCTTCTTGTACAATAAATTTTATATTTGTTACTTTTCTAAAGCTATAGCGATACAATTCTATTTATTATTCTCAGAAATAAAGATAGAATATACATATATTGTAGAGTGAAATATAAAAATATAGAGCTATTCTCAATATATACCAAATAAATAAAACCAAAAATAAATACTTCCCTTATTATATTATGCTAGAATCACCTTTTCAACTTTTTTATTATATGTTAATGATTTACTAGAATAAGCAATTTTTCTATGACCAGCCTTAGATAATTTAGAAGGATCTAGCTGACTGCTCTCAGACTGAATAAACTTGCTAAGATCAGTCTGTTCTTGTTCACTAACTATTTTTCTATCAATGTAAAGATAGGTCTGAGGAAAATACTACAATTAATAGTAATAGAAACTTAATGGTCACAACAAACTTTCATATTAATGTTAGTGAAAATAAATAGCGCATCCGTTTTTGTTATTTCCTGTTGAATACGTCATGCACAAGGAGATAATCGACTAGTTCTAAAATTATAAATATTCAGGCAAGTATTACTATTGATTAGTTTGAATTGAAACCCATTGAATATTGGGTCCTCTACATAAATATCAGCCTGTTCATATCTAATAGAAGAAGTTTAATAAAGCCAACAGGTTCCCCAAGATGCTTAAGGGATTTTTGTATAGATATAAGGATTGCGTTCAGCATTGTTGACTTTTTCTAGATTTTTAGTTAGATTTTCTTGATTATGATAGTCAGGATTTCGAGGATTAGCTAAGACAAAATAACCTTTAGCATCATATTTAATATTAAAACTGAGAATATAAATGTATCCCCTGTATTCTTTGCTTCTAGCCCATTTATCAAAGTCTCTACCTATGCTGTTCATATTTGAAAATTAGTAGGTGGATTATTATTTGCTGAATCACTTAATCTTTTATAGCTGTAAATAAATAATATTTATCTATTCCTACCATATCTTCCAATTGTTGGTCACAATAGTCATAGAAATTTGGATTATTTTTGATATAAGAGATGGTGAGAACATCTGGTATTTGAAAAATAACTGCGTTCTCTAATAATGCACCTTGAAACAAGGTAATCAAAATGATGAAAACTTTAAGCATGACTGCTTTTGATGATTAAAATTAATACTGTATAACTGCCTAATATGCAAAGTTCTCAGAGTAAAAAAAACTTAATATAATAATTTGTTGGTTTATTTCCAATTTTATGAATTCATTTAAAAAGAATGAGTATTATACGTATTTGTTCAGAAATCTACTCTCAAGTATTTAATAGAAAATATGTGTGAAAGAAAACATAATCTAGATATTCTTCTTACAACAAACTATGTAAAAAAATAATTTAAATTTATACAAGGTGATAAGTTATATGAATAAATATATATTACTATGTTGGTTAGTACTATAAACTATTCTTTCTAGAAAAAAATAATTCAAAGAAATATAAACAAAAAATTCAATTTGCTTCGTGAAAAATTACCTAATTATTCATCACAAATTTAATTTGTGTCAGATTAAAATAATTATAATTTCATTAATGAAACACTGCATTTAAATTTTGATCAATGCAAAAATGAAATATAATATTTAAACTTTGTTCTGAAAAAAATTTTAAAATAATTCACTATGCATGATATAATCTGGTATCAGTTAATTTGAATAATGATAAGCAATACAGTAATACACTGATATCTGCAAATATATATGCTTTATTTTAACACATCGGGTACATATAGCACAAGTTCGATCACAATTTTTTTAGACCAAATATTCAAAATCCAATGAACATTTGCATTACAAATTTAGTATAAGGATCTTATATTTCACCTATTCTAAACAGTACTTCAACAAGTCGTAAAAAAAATTATATTAATATTAGTATAAGTTATAGTAACAAGTTGCACAAAATTAGATATAAGGTTTTGTGACACTCTCCTGCAGAATCATTTCTCACAGTCGATTTTTTGATTTATAACAAATATTATGAATTATATCTAGACTATTTTCTTATTATATAAAATCCCACGACAAGAATGGGACTTAAAAAGGTTATAAGGGTAATACGTATAATATTCTTAATCAGTAGTTTGGTCCAAATTCATATGTTGCAAGAACTTGAAATTCCCAGATCGTCAGACCTTAAGTGATCGTCGAATCTAAGGGGGTTAAGTTTACCAGAAAAAATAACAAAATAGGCTTAGTGTTTGGAACTTATAACTGAGTGGAGTTGCTTTGTTAAGTGTGATATAGTATTGTATTAGAGTAACATAATTACTAAGCTTGTGATTTTTCTTCTGACAGGTTCTCTAGATCTAATGAATGTGAAGTATAAAAATAAGCATTTTTCCACTTTAAGATAAGTTAGCAATAACGTTATTTTTTTGCTCAAATATTTTTTTCTTGATTCTCTTGTATTGTATTTTTTAGGTAATTTGCTATTTCGTTTATTGGAGACTATGAAAATAAATTTTTACTTACTATGATTTTTTTTGTTCTTAGAAACAAAAAACGAGCAGTACTGATAAAACTACCACTCCTACAACTAATGACACCAATACCACCCCTAAGACTAATGATGCTACCACCACGAGTAATAATACTACCACCTTCATGACTAATAATAGTAACCCCTCTGAGAACTATTATATTCCCCAAATACTGCCTAATCCAAGACCTAGCCAAAAGACATCTAATTCCAATCGTCAATGTAGAAGTAGGAGAAACAGATATAGTAGAAGGTAACTTTTATTAGAAAGCACTCTTCATATATTTGTGAAACTAAAGCTAAAACTCATTTTATTAGGCCATGTCCGTGTATTAAATTAGACAATTCAACTTATAACCCTAGAGAAGATGATGACTATAACGTTGATGAAGGCAGACCTTTGGACAATTTTTCAGAAGAAAATTCAGAATGGTGTGAGGAAAATGATTTTAATGAGTATGAGAATCCTAGACAATGACAAGAAAGGCTAAATCAAAATTAATAAATAGTTCATATTTTTGTCTGCAGTATGCAACTGTGGTGTATTTTTTTTATTTGTATATCATTTTAGCAATTTTTTTATGAAATAAAAAAGGGGTTCAGTGGGCTCACTATTTTTTTTAACTGATAATATGAATAGGCTCTACTTATTAACCTAGGCTTTTACTGTTATTATTGGGATTGAATTTTGATATTTATTTATATAACAATAGAGATGATAAGTTTTTGTATTAACATAATTGCTACTCCTCCATAAACTCTCTATATTATTTCTTATATTTTCTTTTTTATGGTCTTTATTGCATATAGGACAGAGTGCAGATCTATTAAAATCAAAATAATTACTATATTTAAAACTATGTTTCAAAGTTAAATAAGGAAATCATTCTAATACTATTTCAATAATGTATTGTTGTCTTTCTTCCAGGTCTTTAGGTAGAACAGAAATTAGGAATTGTCATTTAGATGACGTAGATTAAACATTTACCTGCAGTACAAATAAAGTCTTTTCCTCAAAAGATATCTGTATAAATTGAGCATGGATTTTTTCTCATTCTTTTATAAGATCATCGATCCATACAGTACTCAAACCACTTTTTAGTATACCATGACATAATAACTCTTCACTGACTAGCCTCTCCCAATCTGTTAAAAATTTATAATATTTTTTAGAGTCTTCTTTTCTTTCTATTCTACCACGATAGAAACATATATCTCTTTCCAAATCCCTACGAAAACATCCTGTGGTCCACCTATTTTTTTCAGCCTCTGTAATAATCAAAAATTCTTTGGGATTTATTCCATGTTCGATGGCATACTGATAAAGGTGATTTTTGTTTGGTACCATTACCTGAGTTTCCAACAAGCTGTCTTGTATGATACGATTATCAGCATTTTTGCTTTGTAGGGATTCAGAAGTTTCAGACTTTATCCAAGGATCCAATTTAGTCTCTTCTGTGTATGCTCTATATAATTTAGAACAAATTTTTTCTGTTTGAAAACTTAGTAAATCAACTAAATTAGCATGCTATTTGCAATAGTCATCAGTTAATATTTTGCTGGAAGTAGTATCAGAAGACATGTTATTATTTTATATTAATGCAACTTAATTCAAAATCATGTAACTGCTAGACACGGAGTGTTCTGCACTGCAGAGAAAAAAATATTACTATCTACTTGACCAGATTTATATAATTATTTACTTATGCAGTTATTTCAATTTCTTGTTGTCCATATTTAATAAAATAAGATTCAGCTTCATATCTACCTCTTATACTTTTCTCATCTCTATGACTCGACTTGCATGCTAGACATAATGACTTGTCAATAATTCCATAATAATTGAATTTTTCACTACTAAATTCTCTATATATATTAGGATATCGACCCAATATTTTATTACAAAAATAAGTATGGTCATAGGTCAGATTAGATGATACACTTGCATGATCTATATATGAAATCTTATTTTCTGGTAATATATTATTAGATGAAAGACTTATCTCAATTTTTGGTGAGACTTTCTCAGTAAGAGGTTTTGGGACTGACATATTAGCTCGCGTTGAGGTAGGTAGTATACTAATATTGGCTTTCGAATTGGGAGAATTAGAGACATGAGATACAGATGATTCGCTTACCTTGGTTTCAGCAGTTATATGGCTCTGATCGTGAATTTTATTTAATAGTACATGATTTATAATATT